AAAAAAAGAATTTCTAGAATTGGATTGGCACCTGTAGCTCAAGCATTTAGGGCGCCAGGCACATACACCAGAGCTGGTGGGTTCAAATCCAGCCAGGGCCCGACAAACAACAATGACAACTACAACCAAAAAATAACTGGGCGTTGTGGTGGGTGCCTATAGTTCCAGCTACTTGGGAGGCTGAGGCAAGAGAATTGTTTAAGCCCAAGAGTTGGAAGTTGCTGTGAGCTGTGATACTAAGTTACTCTACCCAGGGCGACAGCTTGAGACTCTGTCTCAAAAAAAAAAAAAAAAAAGAATTTCTAGAATTACAGAAAAATAGATATTGGAGATCATGTTAGGAGAACTGATTTTTTTTTTTTTAGAATACATTAAAATTTGGTTTAATAATTCTTTGAACCAAAAAAAAATCACATTTGTAGTAAACGAACAACGCACATTTTTAGGCTATTATTTTTAACTACCATCCCATGAATTCATAGGGAAGAGGTTCCAGTAGCTCAGGGAGGCACCTTGCCATTGAATGTGACAAAGCATTGATTGACTTTTGAATTCATGGGAAATAGGTTCCAGCACCTTGTATCATCACTGTTACATGGGGTCTAATTGGTTATCCTGTGTGCTATGCTGTACACTCATTATGCCATGAGCTCATGGAGAGTAAATAGGTTCTTGCCCCTAAAAGCATGGGTCCACTGGTACTCCTGTGTGCTATGTTATATGCTTTATGCCATGAATTCATAGGAAATGGGTTCCAGGAGCTCAGGCTCCTTTCCATTGGTTCTCACAAAGTGGGCTTCTCTGGGTGAAGCAGGCTGGCACTTCAGTTGAACCCAGGTACCTTTCTCTTTGGCTTCCTTCATGTTTCAGGAAGCTATCTCAGCTCTTAGAGTGCTTAATATGCTCAATACGAACATTAATCCTCTTGGCAAGAATCTTGCCATTAACTTGTTTGTTTACAACAATGCCAACAGCATGCTGGGTAACATTGTAGACTCTTCCAGTTTTGCCATGGTAACATTTGTGTGGCCTGCCTTTTTGAACAGCACCATTCCCTTGATGTCTACAATATTACCTTTTTTGTAGATTCGCATGTATGTGGCCAAAGGAACGACTCCATGTTTTCTAAAAGGCCTAGAGAACATGTATCGGGTGCCTCTCCTTTTTCCCTTTGTGTTCGTCATTTTGGTGAATGACTGAAAGATGGCATCTCTGGCCGAAAGGCGGAGAACTGATCTTTAATGAGCCAATGCTTTCTACCAAACCTTCAAAGACGAGCTGGTAGCTATATCACAGAATCTGTTCCAAAGCATTTAGAAGAAAGGAAGCCTCCCCAGCTTCTTCTATGAGGCAAATATTACCCTGATACCAAAACCAGGAAAGGGCACAACAAAAAAAGAAAACTATAGATCAACATCGTTAATGAATATCAATGCAAAAATACTCAATAAAATCTTAGCAAACAGAATTCAGCTACACATCAAAAAATTATCCATCATGACCAAGTGGGTTTTACCCCAGGGATGCAGGGCTGGTTCATCATACGCAAATCTATAAAAATAATTCACCACAGAAACAAAAATAAAAACAAGAACCATATGTTCTCTGAATTGATGCAAAGAAAGCTTTTGACAAAATTCAGCATCCTTCTTTGATAAGAACACTCAAGAATATAGGCATACATGGGACATCTATAGATAGAAGCCATCTATGATAAACCCATAGCCACTGTCATATTGAATGGCAAAAAGTTGAAAATATTCCCACTTAGAACTAGAACTACAGAAAGATGCCCGCTATTTCACTACTTTTCAACATAGTGGTGGAAGTTTTAGCCAATGCAGTTAGACAAGAGAAAAGTATTAAGGGTATCTAAATGAGAGCAGAGGTGGTCAAATAATTGCTCTTTGCAAATGATACGATCCTATACTTAGAAAACCCCAAGGACTCGACTATGAAACTCTTTGGGTTTTTTGTTTGTTTTTGGTGAGACAGAGTCTCACTATGTTGCCCATGGTAGAGTCCCGTGGCGTTACAGCTCACAGCAACCTCAAACTCTTGGGCTTAAGTGATTCTCTTGCCTCAACCTCCTAAGTAGCTAGGACTACAGGTGCACACCACAATACCCAGATATTTTTGTTGTTCTTGCAGTTGTCATTGTTGTTTAGCTGGCCAGGGCCAGGTTTGAACCCGCCAGCCTCGGTATATGAGGCCGGCGCCCTACTCATTGAGCTACAGACACTGCCTGTGAAACTCTGATGAAAAAATACCGCAATGAAGCCAGGCACAGTGGCTCACGCCTGTAATCCTAGCACTCTGGGAGGCCGAGGCAGGTGTATTGAGCTTAGGAATTCAAGACCAGCCTGAGCAAGAGCAAGACCTTGAATCTAAAAAAATAAGCAGGTGTCATGGCGGGCACTGATAGTCCCAGCTACTGGGGAGGCTGAGGCAAGAGGATTGCTTGAGCCCAAGATACTGAGGTTGCTGTGGGATAAAATGCCAGGGCACTCTACCTGGGGCAACAAAGTGAGACTCTGTCTCAATAAAGAAAAAAGAAAGAAATACAGCAATGTTTCAGGTTATAAAATCAATGTACACAAATCAGTAACCTTCATATACACCAATAATAGTCAAACTAAAAATCAAATCAAAGTCACAGTAGCATCAAACACAAAGAAATATCTCAGAATATATCTAACAAAGGATCTGAAGGATCTCTACACAGAGAATTACAAATTACTGAGACATGAAATTGCAGAGGATGTTAACAGATGGAAGTACATATTGTCCTTATGGATAACTTGGAAGAATCAATATTGTAAAATGTCTATACTATCCAAAGCAATCTATAGATTTAATGCAATCCCAATTATAATTCTACATTTTGTGTTGATCTAGGAAAAAAACTCGATTAGTCAATATAATTCCATAAAATAAGAATA